AAAAATTTTTTTTTTTTTTTTTTTTTTTTTTTTTTTTTTTTTTTTTTTTTTTTGCAGATAACAACTTTCATAATCATGTAACAAATGACAATAAAAACATCCATAATCCTTTAAAAAGATGATGCAAGTTGGTCCGGAGTTGGAACTTATATGGAAGTATTTTCAGTGAATTAAAATAGGGAAGGATATTATCACTTTTAGCCCGCGTTCATAAACTATTTGCATCCAGAGGCGGATCTACAGTCTAAAAAGTGGTTCACGTGAACCTGTGGTTCTTGGGTTAAAGTATAGATATGATGTACATAATTTGGCAAAAATAGATATATACATTTGATGGAACCCATGGTCAAAAGAGATGAAGGGGTGCATTGGTTTTGGTCTTTTATTTCCAATAGCCTTAAGGTTTGGGGATCGAATCCCCTACCAACTTTTTTACTTTTTTTAAAGTAATGATGAACCCATTCTTCGGAAATTCTAGATCCGCCTCTGTTTGCATCTAGTAGTCGAAAAAATATATAATTTTTTTTGCGTATTCTAAGAGATGTGTCGCATCACCTCTTCTACTACCAAAGTTAGATAGATATAGATATATAGATTGTTTAGTTGTCTTAGTACAATGGGTTACTATAGCATGTTCAAAAGAACAATTATTCTATCTTCAAAAACAAATATTGATGTTCTTTTAACTGTTTCCTCTTATAAAAAGGTGAACAAATTTGGGCCAGAGTTGGAACTTATATGGAAGTTTTTCAGTGAATTAAAATAGGGAAGGATATTATCACTTTTAGCCCGCGCTATAAATTATTTATATCTATTAGTCGAAAAAGTATATAAAATTTGTATAATTTTTGGATATAACATACATAATGTATATATATACAAAGAATATACAAAATTTATACTTTTTTGGGATATTATTTTTACATCGGCTATGTAGACATTTAAATTTTAACGGATCAAGCTAAATTCTAAATTCTAAGTTCAAGATAACTCTTAAAATTTTAGGAGTTTATTAGGATTGCTTGGAGGCTACTCTACCGAAACCCTATCTTGGTAGCTACTCTACCTTAACCCTAAGTCACTCATATAAAAAGGGTTATACACTCTCTTAACACAGGCATCTCAAAAATAGGGATCATCTCGAAAATCCCATAAACTCACAGGATATTCACAAAGAGATCAAGAAGTGGCCGGATAATTCTCGATAATCAAATACTTCAAGAAGATCCACAACATACTTCATGGATATCAAATAAATCCATGATAGCTCGCATCATCCTACGTTCGAGAAATACACTGCTCCAGCCCTCGAATCACGAAAATAATCAGGAGAGAAGAATAAGGGAACAAACAGAATTGTAATCGCGTCATTTTATCAATAAAACTATGTTTTTTCATATTTATATTGTGGTTGGAATTTATTTTTGTATCACAAATAATTTGTTACAAACAAATTGGCACGCCCATTGGGACCAGTTCTGCCCTTCATCTCTTCCTCCTGTAAATTAAAAACTACAACTTCCAAAATTATCTGTTGCGATGATCGGGTACTTCAAGTCTCGTCTTCAAGTTTCGGTAAGTCTACACCCTAACAAACCTTGAAGTAGGGGTCATTTGTAGACATCGAAATTTTAACGGATCAAGCTAAATCTTAAATTCAAGATACTACAAAACTACTCTTAAAATTCTAGGAGTTTATTAGGATTGCTTAGAGGCTACTTTACCGAAACCCTATCTTGGTGGCTACTCTACCCTAACCCTAAGTCACTCATATAAAAAGGATTACACATTCCCTTAGCAAAGGCATCTAAAAAATGAAGATCATCTCAAAATCCCATAAACTCACGGGATATTCACAAAGAGACCAAGAAGTGACCGGATAATTCTTGATAATCAAATACTTCAAGAAGATGCACAATATACTTCATGGGTATCAAATAAATCCATGAAAGCCCGCATCATCCTACGTTCGAGAAACACGCTGTTCTAGCTCTCAAATCACGGAGATAATTAGGAGAGAAGAATCAAGGGAACAAATAGAATTATACCCACGTCATTTTATTAATAAAACTATGTTTCTTCATATTTATATTGTGGTTGAAATTTATTTTTGTATCACAAATACTTTATTGCAAACAAATTGGCACGCCAATTGGGACCAGTTCTGCCCTTCATCTCTTCTTCTTGCAAATCAAAAACTACAACTTCCAAAATTATTTGTTGCGATGATCGGGTACTTCAAGTCTCGTCTTCAAGTTTCGGTAAGTCTACGCCCGATAAACCTTGAAGTAGGGGTCATTTGCAGACATCAAAATTTTAACGGATCAAGCTAAATCCTAAATTCAAGATACTATAAGACTACTCTTAAAATTCTAGGAGTTTATTAGGGTTGCTTAGAGGCTACTCTACTGAAACCCTATCTTAGTGGCTACTCTACCCTAACCCTAAGTCACTCATATAAAAAGGGTTACACATTTCCTTAACAAAGACATCTCAAAAATGAAGATCATCTCGAAAATCTCATAAACTCACGGGATATTCACAAAGATATCAAGAAGTGACCGGATAATTCTTGATAATCAAATACTTCAAGAAGATGCACAATATACTTCATGGATATCAAATAAATCCATGAAAGCCCGCATCATCCTGCGTTCGAGAAACACGTTGTTCTAGCCCTCAAATCACGGAGATAATCAGGAGAGAAGAATTAAGAAAACAAACATAATTGTAGCCGCATCATTTTATCAATAAAACTATGTTTCTTCATATTGTGGTTGCAATTATTTTTGTATCACAAATAATTTGTTGCAAACAAATTGGCATGCCCAGTGGAACCAATTCTGTCCTTCATCTCTTTCTCCTGCAAATCGAAAACTACAATTTTCAAAATTATCTATTGTGATGATCGAGTACAGTGTCATTTTTTCATTAAAATAAAAGCAATGCCTACACATTTATGATTCACTACACTAAGTAAAGAATTATTTTCTAACTTAATGCATAAGGCAGATACGAGCCCACAATCAACATGCACTAATACGTACCTTCTCAACAATATACAATAAGTGGGCGTTTGGACATAAGAATTGTAAAATTTTGAAAAAAAAAGTGGGAAAAAAAATTCAAGTAAAAATGATATTTGAAAATTAGAGTTGTGTTTGGGCATGAATATAATTTTGGGTTGTTTTTTATTTTTTGTGAGTGATCTGAGTGCAATTTTAAAAAATAACTTTTTGGAGTTTTTAAAATTCATCTTCAAGCGAAATTGGAAATTGTATGGTCAAATACCGATTTCGAAAAAAAAGTGAATTTTTCTCGAAAAAAAAATGAAACAATTTTTCATGGCCAAACGGGCTCAAGTCTGCAACAATATTTTTGGGTACCAATTGCAAAGCATTAATCAATATCGGGGCATTTGCATCTATACCTGCTTTTTGGATCAAGTTTTAATTTGTGCCCGTTTTGCAAAAATAATTGCAAGCGTATCCACTTTTTCGCGTAAATTCAGCATGCGGGGCTGAAGTAGCAAAGGCAATCACGCAAAACTTCAACATTCTAGTAAACGGACCTGAAGTAGCAAGTGTGCTGAAGTTTTAGTTTGTAATTGATGAACTTAAGCATAGTAGTTGAAGTTTTGTTCTCTATTTGCTAAAGTTTTTGTTTGTAATTGTTGAACCTAAGCATAGCAGCTGATGTTTTGTTCTCTATTTGCTGAAGTTTTTGTTTGTAATTGCACTAAATAAGCTGAAGTTTTTTTGTCCTCGATTCATTAGTTTTGTTATTAAGCTTTTTCAAAAACTTCAATAGAAGATGCTGAAGTTATTTAGTTCATTTATAAAAACTTCAGCACTAAATAAGCTGAAGTTTTTTGTCCTGGATAAGCTTTTTCAAAAATTTCAGTAGAAGATGTTTTAGTTACAACACTAAAAGCTAAAGTTTTTTGTCCTGGATTCATTAGTTTTTTCATAAAGCTTTTTCAAAAATTTCAGCAGAAGATGCTGAAGTTATTTAGTTCATTTGTAAAATCTTCAGCATTATATAAACTGAAGTTTTTGAAAAAACTTTCTAACATACTAGATAAATAATCAGATTGCCAATAGTATCTAAATCATAAATTTTGGGAACAATAAACGTGAAAAGAACAGAATTATCATTGTCTACTAACTTATGTACGTGGAAATATTTACAAATTATTATCTACTAACTTACGTAATATTTATTTTTAAATAATCTGATAAACATATTTATGACAATCATCCCATAAACTGAAGTTTCATAACAGCAGCAACAGCAACAGCAACAGCAGCAGCAAAAGAAGAAGAAGAAGAAGAAGAAGAAGAAGAAGAAGAAGAAGAAAACGAAGGAGGAGAAGGAGGAAGAGAAAAGGGGCTAAAGTTGTTTAAAAAGTGGATACAAATTAAAACTTTTTTAAAAAATGGATATAGGTTAAATGGGAGCGACCAAATAGGACGCCCGTGCAATTTTTATATCAATATCTATATTTGGGTCCATTCTACACACCTAAAATAGTCTAATTTTCGTACATTGGTTAAGATTTGGCCAAAGGTTTAATGTTTCCGGTTCAGAAATTGATATCTATTGGTTAGGAACCAAACCAAATGGAACCAAATCTATCACTAGGTGGGGGTTCAATAGTCATTTAAACCTATCATTAGATGGGGTTCAATTCTCAACTTCTACCAATAAAATTGCACGTGGCCTCACCAAAAGCTAGTCTCACCACAAAAATGATATTGAAAGAACAGTATGTATGCACTTAATTATTTACAGGAACTTTAGCAATTAGCATGTCAAATCAGTCTACATAATCCTATTACACGAAAACATTAAGTCAATTTATGTTGAATATACAATTTAATACTCATGAAGAAGCATTTCTCAAATATGTGATAGTGTTGAGTGGTCATGATATGACGCAACTTACTGAGCATATGATCCTGATAGAAAATTATGGAGATCGAAAATTAGAATAGAAAATTAGTAGTTACTAGTTAGTATAGCATACTTCCCTTTCATACCTGTAGTTTTAACATTATGCTAGTTGTGGTTTATTCTTTGCATATTATTACTTGATTTTGCTTTTGGTTCGTTTTGTTTAGCTCTCACCATTGCTTATGTTTTCTTCCCATAGCTTTTTTTATTTTTACATATTGTATTTCTTTAGAGCTGATTATTGTGCTTAGCTGAGTCGGTGGTATTTATGAAATAGTCTCTCTACCTGCACAAGATAGGGATAAGGTCTGCATACGTACACACTATCCTCCTTATGCCTCACTTGTGAAAAATATTATTGTTGTTGTTGTACGTGCTAGTGGGATTATACTGAATTGTTGTTGTTGTTGTACGTGCTAGTGTTGATTTCATCATATTGACAGAGCTAGGATGAAGATAAGGGAATTCAAAGATTTTCAAAAATGTCACACCTGAATTTCGAAATGTATTCTAATGTTAAGGAGATTAAATTTTTTAAATATATGTATAAAAATATTATTCTTATCATATTTATAAGCAAGTTGTCCAAATGCACCACACAGTCAAGCAAGTACTCTTAGGACTAGTAGGTTTAACCTCTCCCTTTGCAACTAATGAATTAATGTTGTATTCAATAGCAGTATTACACATCACTGTCATGAGCGGAGGTAGGGGCCGGAAGAATATATACGTATATATA